CCAGAGGGGGAAAGAGAAATTTACGTCAATTTCGTAAATCGTGTTGTGGAAAATCACAATGGGGGACATGTAGAGGAGTTCATGGCTTTCTTCCATATGGAAAATGATAGGTCCACAAATGCAACGTTCGGGAAGTGGCTGGAGTTTACGGAGAGAAACGGAGTCCAGAAAGTTATGTTGATCTTGTTGGATGATGGAATTTTCTCTGGTTCTATGAACTTGGTCTATGCTTCTTCTCCCCATGAATTCATAGGTAACTACAAGCTGAAACACGAGTGTAATGGTGTTAGTGATATTCCACACCCTTGTAAATACGGTGGCTTCAAGTTTGTAAAATCCATTTCTTTGTTTGGTGTTGTTACGGTGGGGGAAGCTTTCAAATGCTTGTTGGGCAACTGTAAATTCCTTGAAAAAGTATTACTGAGTGGTTGCGGAGGTTTTGGTTATAATGTAAGAGTTGTTGGACCAGCTCTTGCATTGAAGTATTTAGAGATACGGAATTGCCGCATTGAAAGCATTGAAATCAGTTGTGCAAACCTTGTTTCATTTACTTATGCTGGAGATTGGATACGCTTGTTTCTCTGGAATGTGCCGCGGCTTGCTGAGGTGTCCCTTACCTATGATAGCAGAGCTTCTACAGTGTCTGTCTTCTCCAAACTGCACTCCTGTCATCCTCAGCTGGAGGTCCTCACACTGAAAACAAGCCTGGTAATAATTATGTGTTGGTTTTCATTCCTGTTTCTTGGATTATATATATCGGTGCCTTACCCTTTGTCTGGTTTTCAGATCCACAAAGAGAATTATACATTTCCTGGCTTAGAAATTCTCAAACATTTGGAAGTAAAGATTGCAACTGATGAGGATTGCTGTCTCCTTCAATTAGCTTCTTTCATTAAGGCTTCTCCAGAGTTGCAGAAACTGGTGTTGGAGGTATATTTATATAGATAGGGTTTAAAAGAATGATATTTTTAATGTACTGATGTCATTCCAGTTCAATGATCACTCACTCAATTTGTATTATGTGCCTAACCTCTCCTCTGTAGAGATTAATGCTCCCTTTCCGTTGGTCAGTTATTTCAAGTCAAGTTAAATTTATGACCTTATTTCCTTACGGCTATCTTGACTTGATTTTCTTACTAAATGTAACTCTTTAGCTGTAACTTTTAACCAAGTAGAAGAATGCATCTTCATCTTCCATTCAGTCGGTCCACTGCCAGTTGCTTCTACTTAATGTTGAATTTTCTCGGGTCACTACTTTTCCTGTTGGAATGATCTGTGTCATTTCGAAATGGTCAAGAAGTCATCAAGGATACTTAATGGTATTTCGGTTCTTGTTGCAGTTGACAGGTGTGGTGAGACCGGGAAATGGGATAGGAATCAAGGAAGCTGCCAATTGCTCCCATAACTCCCTCAGGGAAGTGGAAGTGAGAGACTATCATATTCGGCCTGGTGACGATAAGCTTATCATGTACTTAATTGAGAACGCTGTTAAACTGGAAAAAATTGTTATGCATCCTAATGAAGAAAGGGCAGTAGATCCTGCTATGCGGCAGCTCAAAAGACAAGTCCCTAAACATATAAACTTTGTACGCCTCTAAGAGCAAGTCCAGCGCTCACCCAAACCTGGGCAAAAGGCCCCCCATGGCAGCCCAACTCCCCTCCAGCGCGCAGAAAAGAGCTCGGGCAATGGCTGGGTCCCACCGGCTTGGGCAGGCCCAAGAGCAACTTTCGCCTGGGCTTCAGCCCGAGGGCGCTGACGTCAGCGAGCAAAAAAAATTCAAAAAAATTATAAAAAATTCATTTTTTTTTAAAAAAAAATACCAAAAAATTATGGATGTTTTCCCTATAAATACATAACAATTTTATTCACTTTTCCTATAAATACATAACAATTTTATATTTTGTTGCATATATATATTTTTTTCTTGCCCTTGACTTGCCTTAGACTTTGCCCTCATGGGTGGAACCACAAATGCAAAGGCTGACACTATTCACGTGAATAGTTGCAGCCCTTACTTGCCCTTGCCTTAGACTTAGCCCTTGTGGGTGGAGATGCTCTAACGGGCAAAGAATTATTAGGTCCTTGTGCCTGCCTTTCCCCTGTATTTGGTATAAGTGGGATTTTTGTTTTTGTTTTGTTGCTTAGACTCTGTTTCTATTCCTTACTAGTTGCTTTGAAATTTTATAGAGGGTGGGTGGCTTACTTGAATCAAGTGCAATGTGGACGCTTAAATTGGTTGCTCTGATTTGGATTTGAGTTTTTGTTTCCTCATGCTCCTTGCTGTTGTTTTGTAATTTTTGAATTTTATTGCTTAAATTGACACACTAGTGCCTTGACCAGTATCCTTTCTTTCCTTGTAGAAATGTTGAGAATTTGTTGAGACTAAGAGCATGTCCACCGCTGCACCAATCTTGGGCAAAAGGCCCCCTTGGCAGCCCATTTTCAGCTCCAGCGCACAGCATTGAGCTCGGGCAAATGGTGGGTCCCACCAGCCTGGGCAAGCCCACGGGCTAATCTTGCCTGGGCACCAAAACTAGGGCTGCTGACGTCAACAGCTGATTTTCAATTTTTTTTTACTGTTGGACCCACTAGCCCACATTACCCAATGATTACAAGCCATGTGGCTTCTTCTGGAGCCTCCGATCAAAAAATCTTGCACAATCCAACGGTTGTTCAATTTTTGGCTAAAAAAAATTGAAAAAAATATCAAAAAAATTTAAAAAAATATCAAAAAATTCTGGAAATTTTTTCTATACATACCTACCAATATTATTCACTTTCCACACCAATTTAATTTCAAAATTTTATCCGAAAATGTTATCTTGATTTTTAGGTGAGGATTTTACGATAAATATTAACACTTGGGAATTGAAAATCTTATCCAAAAAGTTTATCAAAATCAATGGTTTAAGAATAAAAAATAAAAAATAAATTTAAGTGAATAGTAATTGCCTTAGACTTGCCCTAGACTTAGCCCTCATGGGTGGAACTACAAATGGCAAAGCTAACACTATTCACGTGAATAGTGGCAGCCCTTGCTTGCCCTTGTCCTAGACTTAGCCCTTGTGGGTGGAGATGCTCTAAAGCCTTCTAAAAATCTCTCTCAAGTATGGAAAGTTAGTGAGGAAATTGGGAATGGCCGCGTAAGTGAGACTCTGCTTTTCTCATGCCCATTATGATGCCAATTTTATTGTATGGCGTGAGCTTTAAATTGCAGGCCGATTTAATCCCCACAAACGCCCTGCCCAAGTTAATCTCTGACCTATGAGCTAGTGTAGAAGTCATATAAAAAGAAATTTAATACTAATTTTTAAGCACTATACCTCAATTTACAAAAATTAGCCCAATCCATCCAAGCAAAAATTAGCATGTCCTATCCAAACAGATCTCCAGTTAGCTTCAAGTTTTCTCCTATGAAAAAAATAAATGGAATTTTATTTAAATGTTTACCCATCTAAGAAATAATAGCCCACCCCTAGAAAAATTTCTAGTTCCGTCATTACTTGTAATGATCTGATTGAGTTCATTGCAATAAATGCAGTTGCAATAGGCTAACTATGAGACTGACATGCTAATTAAAAATTTAAAAAATACAGCAATTAATGCATTATGCCATTAAGAGCATTCACAATGGTTGTTCAATAGTTCAATGCAGTTGAAAAAAATAGCAATTAATATATATTTTAAATATATTCAAAATTGGTCTCTTTTTAAAGATCTCTTTGAGAATATTTCAATGGTACAATTTTTAGTGTTATTAAATTTATCAATTTTATTTTATTTGAATATGTAAAAAAAATGTAAGAAGATATAACTATCGATTTGAAGTTATTAAATTGTACCATTACAAGTAAAATTATAGTTTTTTAACTATTGCATTGAACTATTGAACAATCACTATGGATGCTGTAAAACCTTTATAATTGAACCTGTTCCTGGTCAGATGTGGTGTCGTTGATAAATAGCCTGAGGCTTGCTGTACTGTGAGTACAATTAAAAACATTTTAGTTTCATTTTTATGTCGCTTAACCTGATGATGCAATATTATCCAGAATTTGATTTTGAAGCGCTAATATGACTGAATCCTTGCAGAAATGTATCTTACAACAACCAGGTGATATTCCCACAACCAAAAACTTTTAAAGTTTTCTGTTAATTGGTGGCAAGTGAATATACACACTCTCAAAGACACTAATCACTAACATATGAAGCCATATGATCACTACAAAACATATCACACAATTTCTAGATGGGGCGTTTGAGTACTTTATGCGTGTGACCACTTTGTAATGACATGAACCTTTTGTTTATATGCTTGAATTATTCTCATTACCAAATTCAACCAGGACTCCATCTCACCAAGCAAATTGTATATTCATTTAAGTTATAATTGAATTAGGACTCTTTAACTCAATAGGATACTTAATCACATATTGTATGAGTTAGCAGCATGACATTTTGGACTTAAACTCAATGTCTGCCAACATAATTTCAATCAAATTAATAGTATTCTTGAACTTTTTTTTTGGATTTTTATCACAAAATATCATGAGATTAATAAAATTATTAGGTTGCATCTTTAATCTTTTAAATAGTGGTCCTCAAGGTTAACACATGCATTTAAAAATAGTCCATGTTGTTAAGTTTTGTCCAAAATTCTGTTAAATTGATGACGAAGCACACATATCCAATGATATCACGCCTTATGTGTCTTGTCAACAATTTAATAGGCTTTTCTACATAATATGGCGACAAAGACTACTTTTGAGTACTCGTGTAATCTTAGAGACCCCAGTGACTCAAAAACATTAAGAATGCAACCTGATAATTTCGTTAACTTTATGACGTTTTAAAAGAAAGATAAAATAAATATATATATATATATATATTAAATAAAGACAGCTTTAGCCTTGAGATACACCCCTCAGATTAAATGGACCCAAAAAACCTGCCTTTAACTTGTCAAGTTTCCCAAGACCAGGTACAACTATCAAACTTTATCAATTTTGCTTAGGTTTTCTAATCGTTGCCATCTATATTGTGATTTTGATTTTCGATTCTTGTTCTTTTTTTGTCTCCTTCGCTGTTTTGGTTTTGATTTCAGATTCTTGTTATATTTAATTTTCGTTATTTTGATTTTTTGTTCTTGTTTGGGGTCAAATTCTTGTACATGTATTTAGGTTTCCTCCAACATGGTGGATCGAATCAGTGAATTACCAGATGTAATTCTTGTGACTATAGTGTCCTGCTTGCGTGCACTGAAGGAAAAAGTAGCTACTAGTATCCTCTCGAAGCGATGGCGTTATGTTTGGGTTTATACTACGACTCTCGACTTCGGGGGACCTGATGACATGCAAATCGATGCCTACGTCAAGCGGGTGAATAGTGTAGTGGATCAACACAGAGGTGGAAACGTAGAGCAATTTAGGGTTTATATTGATCTCGTAGATGAGAGGTATAAAAGTTCAACAGGTAGATGGCTTCATTTTGCTGCGAAAAGGAGAGTTCAGAAACTTGAGTTGTTCGCGTCACGCAATGATAAGTATGATGCGAATATGGAATTGAGCTATACTAGTTGTCTCCAGAATCTCCACGGAGTCCTAGGTACCGGAGGGGGGTTGGGGTCCCCTCTGAAGCACCTGTGCGGGTCTCCTGAAAGTGTAAACCTTTGCCCTTGTAGATACAGTTGCTTAAAGTTTCTAAAATGTATTGATGTGACGTCTAATCGAATGACTGCGGAAGTTGTTGAGTGCTTCTTGTCTAACTGTGTATTTCTTGAACGAGTATCACTGTTGGGTGCAGAGTCAGGTAACCTAAGAGTTGTTGGTTCATCGATTGCATTGAAGCACTTAGAGCTGCATAGTTGCTATTTTGAAAGCGTTGAGATCCATGATGCAAACCTTGTTTCATTGATTTATTATGGACCCAAGATAAACTTGCTTCTTAGGAATGTATCGCGGCTTGCTGAGGTGTCTATTAACTATTTACCCCCAGTTCGTATGATTGAAGACTTCTCCCAACTTTTCTTATGTTGTTCTCAGCTCGAGGTCCTCAAACTAGACACAACCTGGGTTAGTGAATGCAAATTAATTATATATGCGTTGGTTTTCATTCCTTTATATTCTTCTTGGATTTTATATTATGTATATATATATATATATATATATATATCTTGTTTGGTTTTCAGCTCTACGAGGAGGATCATACATTTCTTAAATTACCAAATCTCACACATTTGGAATTAGAATTTGCAGCTGAGGACAATTGCTGCCTCCTTAAATTAGCTTCCTTCCTTGAGGCATCTCCTAACTTGCAGCAACTGGTGTTGGAGGTATAATATCTTACTTGGTATTTATATTTACTGTGATGTTTCACTCGTTTGACACTTTTAATGTATACAGTTGTTATTCCAGTTCAATCACTCACCTAGGTTAGTGCTCCACTGAATTCATACGTTGGTAAATTATTTTAAGTCAATTTAATTCTTGACGGCTAGCTTGCGTTGCTTTTGCTTACTACATCTCCTTGAGCAGTTTTTTCTGTGAACCTTTAGCTATATATGACTTTTGAATCAAGCAGGAAGACACCTTCATCTTC